AATCCCAGCACTTTTGGGGCGGCGAGACAGGGCTGATACGAGGTCAGGACGACCGATTTGAGACCATCCTGCTAACACAGTGAACCCCGTCTTACTAAAAATATACAAAAAATAAGCTGGGCGGTAGCGGTGCTTGTAAGTCCAGCTACTCGGGAGCTGAGGCAGAGAGAATGGCGGGAACCCGGAGGCGGCGCTGCAGTGAGCAAGATTGCGCCACTGCACCCAGCCTGCTGGCGACCAGAGGAGGACTCCGTCTCAAAAAAAAAAAAAGAAAAAAGAAAAAAAGAAAAAAAGAAAAATTTAAATATGTTCACCAGTATCATCCAACAGTCCACTTCTGGGATATACCCAGAAGAATTCAAAGCCAACTTGCAGGGTGGGAAGGCAACCCAAAATAGTCATCACAAATGAATGAATAAAGAAATGTGGCCGGGCGCGCGGCTCACGCCTGTAATCCCAGCACTTTGATAGGCGAGGGGGGCAGATCATGAGGGCAGGAGGATCGAGACCATCTGACTAACATGGTGAAACCTGTCTCAACTAAAATACAAAAAAAAATTAGCTGGGCGTTGCAAAAAAAAGAAAATGTGGTGTATACACACAATGGAATATTAAGCAGTCTTAAAAAGAAGGAAATCTTGTCATATGCTGCAACATGAATGAACCTTAAGGACATTATGTTAAGAGAATTAAGCCAGTCACTAAAGGACAAGTACCATATAATTCCATTCACACGAAGTACCTAAAGTGATGAAAATCACAGAAACAGAAAGTATGAAGATTTGGGTTAGAGTAACCAAGAGCTAAGGGGAGAGGGAATTCCTGTTTAGTCGGTATAGAGTTCCACTCTTGCAAGATGAAAAAGTTCTATGGATCTGTGTACGACAATGTGAGTGTACTTAAACTATGAAACTATACACTTCAAATGGTTAAGATGGTAAATTTTGAGCCTGGTGCAGTGGCATGTACCTATAATCCCAACTATTCAGGGGGCTGAGATGGGAGGATCACTTGATTCTACGAGTTCAAGACTGTAGGCTGGGCGCAGTGGCTCACACCTGTAATCCCAGCACTTTGGGAGTCTGAGGCAGGTGGATCACCAGAGGTCAGGAGTTTGAGACCATCCTGGCCAACATGGTGAAACCATGTCTCTACTAAAAATACAAAAAATTAGCCGGGCAGTGGTTGAGGGCACCTGTAATCCCAGCTACTGATGAGGCTGAGGCAGGAAAATCGCTTGAACCCTGGGGGTAAAGGTTGCAATGAGCCGAGATCACGCTACTGCAACCTGGGCGACAGAGTGAGACCCCGTCCCCGTCCCTGTCCCCCTCCTCCCCGCCAAAAAAAGACTGTAGTGAACTATGATTTTGCCTGTGAATAGCCACTGCACCTCAGCCTGGGCAACATAGCAAGACTTCATGTCTAAAAAAAAAAGGTAGTAAATTTAATGTTACGTGTTTTTCACCACAAGAAAATATAATGAAAGCATTTTAAAGAAAAAAAAAGGAATGGATAAATTTCTAAGATAATCTGTATGAAAAGAAATCTAAGTGTATTTTATGTAAAGTGAGAAATATTTTTAAATGCAAATAATTCATACTTCCTGCCCTTTCCTCCCCTCCGCTCCATTTTGTCATACAATATTAAGGATGCTTCTATTTTAATATTGGGTTCCTTTAAGGTAGATTTATATTTCTTTAACCAAAATTAGAGCTACCTAATTTGAAGTCAACTGCACAGTAGTGTGAGAAGAATGCAACTTGAAATTAAGACCCAGGTTCTAGGCCTGTTTGTTGTCATAAATTTGCTTTTGGACTCTGAATGAGTCATTTAAATTTTCTGTATCTGCTTCCTCAAATGCCAGATGTGCCCTCTCTCCTTCACAGACTCTTGTGAAGTGTTTTTCAAAACAAAAAGTACAATGTAAACACCAGCCCTCGAAGTCCTCCTATCTAGTTTCCTCCATGGAGGAACCCCTCTGAGGGGGAGGCAGGAGGGTTTGCTCTGTAAGGAAACACAGTGTTTCATCTCGACAAAGTGGCTTCTGAGTCTCCAGTGCCCAGCATGGTGTCTGACACATGTCAGCAGGAAAAGTTGGCTTTCCAAACTGCTGATTCTGTGTTACAGTTTTAAGCTAAACTCAGAGAGTAATTAATGTTCTTTCCTATGTATTCAATCTCGAAAATTTACCTTTTGCAGGGCTTTTCCCTAGAATATAACGATGCCAAGGTCATGATAGTGCAGAAATGTTCATAAACAGCCTTATGATTAAGTATGGTTAGCAACCAACTGTCCAAAGTGGCAAATAGATGTGCAACTTGAGGTTTTGAGACTTATTTCCTGGACAGGATCACATTCATTGACTCACTCACTGGGAGCCCAGGGCTAGCCACATAAGCCTTCCAGGGCTTTAGTGTTAATATTGCTGAGCTCTTCTGGCATGTGGGTTTGTTGATGAAAGTACTGGGTGGTTCTTTGAAAACCTGGAAATGCAAAAACAGTGTTAATAAGACTCAGAAAAGAGGCCAGGTGTGGTGGCTCACATCTGTAATCCCAGCACTGTTGGGAGGTCGAGGCAGGCAGATCACTTGAGGTCAGGAGTTCGAGACCAGTCTGGCCAACATGGTGAAACCCTGTCTCTACAAAAAACACAAAAATTAGCTGGGTGTGGTGGCGCACACCTGTAGTCTCAGCTACTTGCACCACTGTACTCCACCCTGGGTGACAGAGTGAGACCCTGTCTCAAAAAAGAAAGAAAGAAAGAAAGAAAGACTCAGAAACAAAAGATTTTAGGAAAAAAGGTGCTTTAAAAGGACTAGCTCACCATATATAAAGTACAATAAAGGCCAGGCGCAGTGGCTCACGCCTGTAATCCCAACACTGTGGAAAGCTGAGGCGGGTGGACCACTTGTGGTCAGGAGTTTGAGACCATCCTGGCCAACATGGTAAAACCCCATCTCTATTAAAAATACAAAAATTAGCCAGGCATGGTAGTGCATGCCTGTAATCCCAGCTACTCTGGGAGGTGGAGCTTGCAGTGAGCTGAGATTGTGCCACTGTACTCCAGCCTGGGTGACAGAGCAAGACTCCATCTCAAAATAAATAAATAAATACAATAAATATTTAAAAGGAAAAAATACAGACAGAATAACTAAGGTTAATCAGAGAATGGAGACATTTTACTTTACTATTGGCTGAGCCTGTTTATAAAATCAGAGATGATAGGCTCCTTTTATAATTGATTTTCTCAGATTTACATTGATTCAGCAGTCTTTTTTTTTTTTTTTTTTTTTGAGATGGAGTCTCGCTCTGTCACCCAGGCTGGAGTACAGTGGTGCAATCTCGGCTCACTGCAAGCTCCGCCCTCTGGGTTCCAGTGATTCTCCTGCCTCAGCCTCCCAGGTAGCTAGGACTACAGGCATGTACCATCATGACTAGCTAATTTTGTATTTTTAATACAGACGGGGTTTCACCGTGTTGGCCAGGCTGGTCTCGAACTCCTGACCTCATGTGATCTGCCTGCTTGGCTTCCCAAAGTGCTGGGATTACAGGCATGAGCCACCGTGCCTGGCCAATTCAGCATTCTTTTCTATCTCCAGGTAAGGGGAAAGTTATTTGCATGCCTGGCTTTGTAACATTCTAGCAGTGACTGGTCAAGAAGAATGCAGCCGACACCTGGCTTCTCTTCAGGATGTTGTAAATTTGGATTGGACCGGCAGGTCTGCCTGCTGTTAGCTCTCTAGGGCATCCAAGGACAGAGGATCCTTCTCAAGGCATTCTTAGTTGTTCTAACTCTATTCACCACCGCAAGAACATGGGCTTTGGAAATAGGCAGAGTTGGGCTTGAAACCTGTGTTCAGCCCTTGATAACAGGGTGACTTTGTGTCTATTGATCAATCTCTCAGAGCCTTAGCTTCTTTTTTCATAAAATAGGCCAGTTAATAATCCCAGTCAGTTAACAAATCCATGTAAAATTGTCATAAAGATCAGAGATAATGTGGATACTGAGACTGAAATGTGTCCCTAAATGGTACTTATTAGCTTTTGTCTGTATGGACTCTAGAATCAATTTCTTTCCCAATTCCACTTAAAACAGAGACAGTAAATTCAAGTATTTCCTCAAGCTGCTGTAGAGTGTCATTTTAAGATGACATTGACTCAACTCCCCTTTCCTTACAACATAACTGGGGGGAAAAAAAGCTGGCCAGGCATGGTGGCTCATGCCTGTAATCCCAGCACTTTGGGAAGCCAAGACAGGCAGATCATGAGGTCAGGAGTTCGAGACCAGCCTGGCCAACATAGTGAAACCCCGTCTCTACTAAAAATACAAAAAATCAGCTAGGTGTGGTGGCAGACGCCTGTAATCCCAGTTACTCAGGAGGCTGAGGCAGGAGAATGGCTTGAACCCCGGGATGCAGAGGTTGCACTGAGCCAAGATCGCACCACTGCACTCCAGCCTGGGCAACAAAGCGAGACTCCATCTCAAAAAACAAAAAACAAGCTTCAAGCATTGGCCCTGGGTTCTGCACTCAGATGAGGCTTCAGTGTTCTGCCCAATCTCATGGAAGTTCATTCTCCTGGTGCTGGAGCTGCACACACATGAAGTTGCTGAGCTACCATGAGAAGGAAGCATATAGACAAGACTCATCTTCCCAGTAGCCTAAAAACAAAGAGGAAAGGTGCCACACTATGCATCATTTTAAGTGCTTTGCACCAGCTCTCAATGTCCTACACATTAACTCAATAATCCTGACAACCACCCCAATGCATTAGGTAGTATTAGCAAAATGGTTGGGAGAAAAGGTTCTGGAGTCAAACTGCCTGCATTCCAATACTGACTTCACAGTTCACTAGCTGGGTGTCCTTAGGCTAGTTACTTTTCCTCTCAGACTCAATGAGAGTCATCTGAAAGCTCAGGATAATATTACTGCCTATCTCCTGGGGTTACTGTGAGGCTCATGGGTCAAATATTCTTAGCATAATGCCTGCCACAAAGTAAGCACTCATTAAATAATATTGTTGTTGTATAGGCAATAGTAATTATCTTGCACAAGATCAAACACCAGGAAGAAGCTAGAAATCCTGGTCTTCTGACTCCAAATTCCAGGCTTTTTCTATGACTATGTGTTACTCTACTGAATGTTTATTTTTCTTTAAACGATTAAAATACCATAGTACGGTTTGTACTGTTCTAAGAACACTGAAGTGTTCTTGCTAATTATACAGAACTGCAAAGAAAAGATCACTGTCAGCAGAATATAATGCTGTTTCACTTTGCACTGGCTTGAGAAAAAGCCCCCACAGAACAGACCATTTCTGAGATTCCCAAGAGCAATACTTTCCAGGATATACTTCTTTGATATTAAAACCAGTGTCGCACCTGCCAACGGAAAGGACTGTCAGTTTGACTAGTCTAGAGGCCACGTTACCTTCTCTGTTTCGTGCTAAGTGGTGACAGCGACTGTTTATCTCCTTTATAAAGTTGTTCTCTAATATTTTGTTTCAAATTCCTCCAAACAAAACAATTTGCAGCTGCAACTCATGCTAGCTTTCTGGTTCACTGCCTACTTGGGCATAAATAACCAGTACACTGGCTCCCACTTTAACTACCACTAGGCCTGGCACAGTTCCAGGCTCTTTGGGTACTGAACCTTGTGGAGTCCATAAAGTTAATTTTCCACACAAACTTGATTTAACCTGGTATGAACTTCAGACGATGCAGCTCTGGGGAAATTCACACTGACATTCTCACTTCATTTCAAAATGTTTTTTTTAATTGTCAAAAAGAAACATTCATGAACATAGACCATATTCTTTCTGGGTCATAAAACAAAATAAAACATTTCAAAGAATTTAAGTCATATAAAGTGAGTTCTCTGAAAATAATGGAATTAAACTGAAATCAATAACAGAAAGATATCTTTAAAAATCCCCAAATAGTTAGAAATTAACACACTACAAAAATAACCCATGAGTCAAAAAGGAAGTCACAAGGAAAATATTTTTGGGCCAGGCATGGTGGCTCAGGTCCGTAATCCCAGCACTTTGGGAGGCCAAGGCAGAAGGATCATTCGAGGTCAGGAGTTTGAGACCAGCCTGGCCAACATGATGAAACCCTGTCTGTACTAAAAATACAAAAATTAGCTGGGTGTGGTGGTGCGTGCCTGTAGTTCCAGCTACTTGGGAGGATGAGGTGGGAGAATAGCTTGAACCCGGGAGGCGGAGGTTGCAGTGAGCTGAGATCATGCTATTGCACTCTAGCCTGGGTGACAGAGTGAGACTCCATCTCAAAAAAAAAAAAAAAGAAAGAAAATATTTTGAACTGAATGAAAATGATAATACAACATATCAAGATTTCTTTGATGTATTTAAAGTGGTGCTTACAGGAAAAAATATGGCATTAAAGGCTTATATTAGAAGGCGGGGTGCAGTGGCTCATGCCTGTAATCCCAGCAATTTGGGAGGCTGAGGCAGGCAGATTACCTGAGCTCAGTAGTTGGAGACCAGCCTAGGCAATATGGTGAAACCCTGTCTCTACAAAAAATGCAAAAATTAGCCAGGCGTGGTGGCACACCTACTTGGGAGGGTGAGGCAAGAGGATCGCCTGAGCCTGGGAGGCAGAGATTGCAGTGAGCCGAGATTGCACCACTGAACTCCAGCCTGGGTGGCAGAGCAAGACTGTCTTAGAAAAAAAAAAAAAAGCTTACATTAGAAAAGGAAACAGGTCAGTCATGGTGGTTCATGCCTATAATCTCAGCACTCTGGGAGGCCGAGATGGAAAGATTGCTTGAGGCAGGAATTTGAGACCAGCCTGAGCAACATAGAGATACCCCAATCTCTACAAAAAAGTAAAAAAATTAGCTAAGTGGGGTGGTGCGAGCCTGTAGTTCTAGCTACAGGAGAGCCTGAACCCAAGAGTTTAAGGTTGCTGTGATTAGGCCACTGCACTCCAGCCTGGGCAACAGAGTGAGACCTCTATACACACACACACACACACACACACACACACACACACACGAAGATCTAAAATTAATGTTTTAAGCTTACATCTTAAAAACAAACAAACAAACAAAACAACCTAGAAAAAGTATCTAGGCCAGGTGCAGTGGCTCACACCTGTAATCCTGGCACTTTGGGAGGCCGAGGTGGGTGGATCACCTGAAGTCAGGAGTTTGAGACCAGCCTGGCCAACATGGCGAAACCCCTTCTCTACTAAAAAATACAAAAATTAGCCTGGTGTGGTGGCGCACGCCTGTAATCCCAGCTACCCGAGAGGCTAGGGCAGGAGAATTGCTAGAACCCTGGAGGCGGAGGCTGCAGTGAGCCAAGATCTCAGCACTGCACTCTAGCCTGCGCAATAGAACGAGACTCCATCTCAAAAAAAAAAAAAAGAAAAGAAAAGCTAAAACCAAGCAAGCAAAGGAAGAAAATAATAAAGAGATGAAATTAATAAAATTGAAAAACAGATAAACAATAGAGGAAATCAATTAAATCAAAAGCTGGTGTTTTCTTAAAAGATCAATAAAATTGATAGGCCTTAAAGGAGACAAAATTTACCAATATCGAGAATAAAATCTAGAACACTACTATAGATCTTACAGACATTAAAATAGTAATAATGTAATATTATTATATCGAACAACTTAATGCCTAGAAATTTAATTCTTTAGGTGAAACAGACACCTTGAAAGACACAAATTACCAAAGCTTTCTGAAGAATTAGACATCCTGAATATTTTATTTTAAAAATAGAATTTGTAATTAAAACAATTTCAACAAAGAAAACTCTAGACCTAAGTGACTTTACTGGCAAATTCTTCCAAATGCCAGGCACAGTGGCTCACACCTATAATCCCAGCACTTTGGGAGGCCAAGGCGGGCAGATAATCTGAGGTCAGGAGTTCAAGACCAGCCTGGCCAACTGGTGAAACCTCATCTCTACAAAAAATTACAAAAAAAAAAAAAAACGAGAGTGATGGCACATTGCTGTTAATTTCCCAGCTACCTGGGTGGCCAGGCAGGAGCAATTGATTTGAACCCAGGAGCGGGAGGTTGCAGTGAGCCAACGATCGCACCACTTGCACTCCAGCCTGGATGAAAGAGCGAGCTCTGGTCTCAAAAAAAAAGAAAAAAAAAAAAAATGATTCTTCCAAACATTTAAGAATTGAATAATACCGAATTTATATTAAACATCTCTAGAAAATAAAAGGGAAGAGAAACACTTCCCAACTCATTTTTTGAGATAGTATTATCCCTGCTGCCAAAGATTAGCAGACATTACGAACGAAAACTATACATCAATATCATTCAAACATGAATGTAAAAATTTCCAATAAAATATTAATGATCAAATCAGCAAAAAAAAAAAAATATATATATTATGATGTTATATATATATTTTTTTCTTTTTTGATACGGACATCTCACTCTGGTTTGGCCTAGGCTGGAGTGCAGTGGCGCAATCTCAGCTCACTGCAAGCTCCGCCTCCCGGGTTCACGCCATTCTCCCACCTCAGCCTCCTGAGTAGCTGGGACTACGGGCGCCCACCACCAAGCCCGGCTAATTTTTTGTATTTTTTTAGTAGAGATGGGGTTTCACCGTGTTAGCCAGGATGGTCTCCATCTCCTGACCTCGTCATCCGCCGCCTCGGTCTCCCAAAGTGTTGGGATTACAGGCGTGAGCCACCGTGCCCGGCAATATATTAAAATGATAAAATCATAAATAAGTTGGGTTTATCCCAGGAACAAAAGGTTGGTTGAACATCTAAAAATCAATGTAATTCACTGTATCAACAGACTACATAAAAACAATTAGGTGGTGAACACCTATAATTCCAGCTACTCAGGCCTGGCAGAAGTAGGAGGATTGCTTAGGCCCAGGAGTTCAAGGGTACAGTGAGCAGTGATAACACTACTGCACTCCAGCCTGGGTGACAGAGCGAGACCCTCTCTCAGTTGAAAAGAAAAGAAAAGAAAAGAAAGAAAAAGCAAATGATCATCTCAATAGATGAAGAAATGCATTTGATAAAATTCAATGTCCATTCATAATTTTAAAAAGCAAACAAAAACACAACTAAGCAAACTAGGAATGAAAGTGAACTTTCTCAGCCTCCTATTAATAAAAGGGCTTCTGTGTTAGATATATATGGCTGCATAACAAATTACCCCAAAACATAACAGCAAACATATTTCAGTTTCTAGAGGTCAGGAACCCAGGTATGGCTTAGCTGGGTGCTCCTGGCTCAAGGTCTCTCACAAGATTGAACTTACATTGTCATCTGCGGCTACAATCTCATCTGAAAGCTCACTAGAGTTGGGGTGGCGGGGGAGATCCACTATCCTCAAAAGGCTACATACGGTCTGATTCCATTTTCATGACATTCTGGAAAAGGCAAAACTATAGAGACAGAAAACAGATCAGTGGTTGCCATTTGCAAACAATTTCTGTTCACAGACCACCTCTAGGCCATCCCTGTACTGGGTTTCCAGGGCAACCACCAGCCCTCCCTCCTCAGCTCCAGGCTCCTTTCTGAACCCTACCTGGGTTTACATTTAGTAGCATGCTGCTTGACACGGGATTGACTCCCGTTTCATAGACACTGTGTTAATTTTCTCTCCTCGGGTACTGCTTCCAGGGCAAATACCCGCATTGATGCTGGCACCGGGAACGGGGCGGATGACAAAGTGTGAGGCAGTCTGCCCAGTGGCAACTGACATGATTTCCTGATATCCACAGGTCCATCCGCTTCCTGCCAGTGTGTCAGATCAGAGCAGCAGGAGTCTGTCGGAAGAAGGATGGGGGAAAGGAACCAAAAACAATTAAGGCAGGCTCTGTAAGCTTCCACCTCCCACACCAGAAGGGTCCCACAGCAGAAGACTACAGTGGAACCTTCCCTGCTGTAGGAGGAAAGTGCTGACTTTAACCAATTTCTGCGGTCACGCCTTCCTCTTCTTTCCTTTCTCCCTCTCATTCATTCACTGACGCCGCAGCACTGATCAGCACAGACACAGAAGCTGCCTCCAAGGGACCAAAGGGAATAACCGCGGTTCTGAGGTGTGGGGACGGCTGTTCCAGGGAAATGTGGACCGCTCAGGAGGGGCTCCTAGCGCAGGCGTCTTCCCCGCAGACGCGGTTACAGCTGCGCTTTGCACGGCCTGCGGAAGTTTGCAAATCTAGCAGGTCTGCTCTCCCGACAGCAGGACGTGCAGGGACTCGGCCCGCGGTGAGGACAGCTCCCGTGGACTAAGGGCGGCCCCCCGGGGCCCTTCCCTGCAGCCGGGACGGCGGCCGGGCTGGGCCGGGCAGGGGTTGGGAAGCGGGGGCGCTGCGGCCCCGCCCAGGCCGACCCGGGGCGGGGGCCGGTTCCCATAGGGATCTCGGGCCGAGCCACGCCGAACCGAGCCGAGCCGGGCGAAAGAAGGCGAGGCGGGAGCCAGGCCCGGCCCAGACCGCCGCGGCGCGGTGAGTCCCGGGCGGGCTAGGAGCGCGGGCCGTGCCGGGCCAACACGTGGCACCGCTGCACGCTGCGCGGCGCGGCTGGGGGGCACGTCCGGGCGCGGGAGGGTTTTCCCGGTCCCGCGGACTAGGGGCGCATGGTGGTCCCCTGCGGCCCAGCCTTGCCGCCGCCCCGGGGAGAGCCGGGAGGTGTCTTCTTGCCGCAGGGAAATGAGACCCGAAATTAGAACCGGGGAAGCCCGTAGCTCTCCCCGTGCTCCAGCCAGCTCAGGTGTCTTAGATCGGATGAACGATAACGTTAAAAAGATAGATTATCTTACAGCTCGGCTCGTTTTAGGATGGCAAGTTACATTTTAACTTACAAGGTATTTAACGGGCGATTAAAACTGGGTTATTGGAGGCAGCTAACTCTAGGCTGTTACTCCTGATCGCGTTGCCATTGCCGACACGGGTCCACGCTTCGTTCCTTAACATGTCCTGTTCTGTTCTAGGCCCGTGACGAGCACTCATCGTTGGGTGGGGCTCTAGTGCAGTCCGTTCGTGCCAATATTTTATAAGCGACGTTTTCAAACTATGTGAAGATCTGTTCTTTGTTTGTTTGTTTGTTTTTTTGACGGAGTCTAGCCCTGTCGCCCGGGCTGGAGTGCAGTGGCGCTGTCTCGGCTCACTGCAACCTCCGCCTCCCGGGTTCTCGCGATTCTCCTGCCTCAGCCTCCTGAGTAGCTGGGATTACAGGCGCCCATCGCTACACCCGGCTAATTTTTTGTATCTTTAGTAAAGACGGGGTTTCACTATGTTGGCCAGACTCGTCTCGAACTCCTGACCTCAGGTGATCTGCCTGCCTTAGCCTCCCAAAGTGCTGGGATTACAGGCGTGAGCCGCCACTCCCAGCTGAAGATCCATTTTAAGAAGATTTATTCCTCTATGATGGAGAAGTATGAAAAAATTGGGAAAATTGGAGAAGGATCCTATGGAGTTGTTTTCAAATGTAGAAACAGGGACACGGGCCAGATTGTGGCCATCAAGAAGTTTCTGGAATCAGAAGACGACCCTGTCATAAAGAAAATCGCCCTTCGGGAAATCCGAATGCTCAAGGTAATTGATTCACTTTTCCTTTTTTCTTTTTCCAGACAGGATCTCACTCTGTCACCCAGGCTGGAGTGCAGCGATGTGTTCATACCTCACTGCAGCCTGGAACTCCTGGGCTCAAGCCATCCTTCTGCCTCAGCCTCCTGAGTAGCTGGGATTACAGGTTCTAGCCACTGCTCCAGGCTCCACTTTTTCTTTAAAGTGAATTTTTAGGGATGAAAGAAATAAAGTGAGTCATGTTATGTTAAAAGAATGTCATGGGACATGGTTACATCTTACTTCATAGCCTTTTGACTTCAGTGACACAAATGGGATATCTGTGCACAAGTCACTAATTATATAATGAACTAGAAAGCAGAAACAAAAGTGCCAGGTAAAGTGGCATTCACTTTTAGAGATGCTATGGTATATTTTATTTTTCTTCCCAATAGTTTCTCTCCCACCTGTAGACCTGGGTTTTCAAGGACCATCACAATTTGATAGTATAGGAATGTAAGACAATTCTATTTTGCCTAGCATTGTTGATTTTTAAACTTCTAAGGTATTTTCTATTGGTATACTCAGTCTTTTAAGAGAATTAATCATTTACCTGTTTTCAAACTGCCAGGAAGCTCACAGGTCTCATTACACCTCATATATATTTACTGCTGAGCATCATCATGTCTCATTTCTAAAAAGAAGTGTTCTTCTTAAAGAAGTGAAATGATCACTTTCTATTTTTTTTTTTAATGTTTTGTAGAAATGGGATCTTGCTGTGTTGGCCAGGCTGATCTGGACCTCCTGGCCTCAAGCGATCCTCCCACCTTGGCCTCCTAAAGTGCTGGGATTACAGGCATGATCCATCGAGCCTGGTCTGATCACTTTTCAAATGTTTATTAGTTAACCCTAAAAATACCATGATATCGGAGCGGGGAAAGGTATTTATTACAAGCTAAAAGTGTGTTTGCCTCTAATGGAGAGACTTCTTTACAGAACTTCTGTGAAGGTGAAATCCAAATCCCAATGTGAAAGGTGACATATAATGAATACCGTGGAGGTCAACTTTGTTTCAGTTATGGCCTCTGTGTTCTGACCTGTATAACTAACTACATGACAAGGGAAGAGCAACATGGTGAGAGACAGATGAATGAAACTTCCAGGGGATTCACTATTATTCTTGCTTCTGCAGTTTCTCCAGATCACTCTACAAATCTTTTACCCATGGATAAGTGTGTGGGGTCACTTCTAGATAAGGAACCTAAATGGAAAGCAGCAAGCTTTGGACAAATTGAAATGGGTGGATAACAGGGCAACTTCTCTATTTAGGTTTGGAATGTTCTTAGCCAACAGGATATTATGTATTCAGAGGAGATGCTTCCAAAGTCCCCCAGGGGAGTGCTCCCATAGGCAGGGGTGAGACCTGCAGTGTTTGACCATCCCCCTGCCCGGGTCACTCTACCCTTACCCTCTCTGTACACAGGGAGAGGCTGTTAGGCATTTTCTCTTCCTCAGGCTTTCCTAGGAGAGGAGGTGATCATTACATTTCAAAGGGTTCATTGACCTGAAAGAAAATCTGTTTCTTGCAGAAAGATACTTTTTCTGATTCTGAAGATTACTTTTGTGAATGCTCCTTTCAAATCTCTCACCACACTTTATCAATACTACATTAACAGTGATAGCTCCCCAAATTAATTGAGTTCTTCCAGGATGGAGACCTTGCCTCTGTAGCTCTGTATCCCCAAAGCACACTAGTTGGCACATCTAGGCCTCCCAAAAATGTTATTGTTGGATTGAAAAAAAAAGTTAACAAAATAAGCTCTTAAAAAAGGTGGATGTTGCCAATAAATTGGGAAGTCAAATGTGTTCTCTGAACTGAATATTGATATCCTCCAAAGGATGGGGTTGTGTGCACATGATCCTGATTTCAAAGCATGCAGCACCCCACTCTCCAGATTAAGTGCACAGACGTAGACACCCCCGATCTCTATGAAGTGGTAGGACTAGATTAGAGGTAGAGTCTGTTCTTTAAAGCTGTAACTTTTCAGAGTTGTGTGATATTCCTAACACATAATATGTACTAGACTGGGCATGGTGGTGCATGCCTGTGGTCCTAGCTACTTAGGAAGGAGGCCAAGGCAAGAGGATGGCTTAAGCCCAGCAGTTCAAGGCTGTGGTGAGCTATGATTAGGCCACTGTACTCTAGCCTGGGTGACAGAGTGAGACCCTCTCTGTTATAAAATAAAGATACTTAATAAATATTTGCTGAGTAGGTAAATTGAGGGTATGGTGAATGAACATTTTATTTTCTCCATTTATGGATTCAGTAAATACTCATAGAGTCCCAGTTGTGCCTACAATGATGTTTATGCAAAGTTGTACACCCTGTCTTTCAGCAGCTCGGCTCTTGGAAGGGAGGTAAGATGAGTTGCCCTTTGGCTCTCACTCCTTATAGACTGGTTCCAGTGAGCAGGGCATGTGTACCCTTGTCTGGTAAGAACTCTTTAGGTGCTTGTTGAATGGTGAAAATAAAGTGACTGGGGGCACGTTTGAGCTGAACTTTGAAATGTTTAGGGAAACGTGGAATGAGAGATAAGGCATTCCAGGCAGACACTCTATCCTAGGAAAGGGTGCATAAGTGGAAAGCACAGTATATTGAGGGAACACAGGTAATAACCCCAGTGTCTTGGCCAAGATGCCCAGTGGGTGCTAACAGGCCAGGGAGAGAAGGAAGGGGGAAGCCAGGGTCCAGCAGGATCAGGTCATATTCTAGATTTCTTCTGAAAGAAGAGCACATAGGAATCTAATGATTGGATGAGAAATCAAGAATAATTTCAAGGTTGTTGACTGAGTGACTGGAAGAATGAAGAGATCGTTCACTGTGATAGAGATCCAGGTGCAAAGTTGGTGGAAAGGAAATAAAGAGCTCTGTTTTGGACAGGTTAAGTTTGAATTGTGAACCCAAAGAGACTTGTAAAGTAGGCAGTTGACTACACAAGTCTGGCATTCAGAAGAAGTCCAGGTTGGAGACAGATAAAGTTGGGGTACATAAGCTTATCGATGGTATTTAAAGCTGTGGGACCAGAGGTGGTCACCATGTGGGATGGAGGGACAGGTACTGAAGGTGGAAGCTTAGTGTACCCAGCCCTTGGGGGTCAGGAAGATGACAAGGAACCAGCAAGGGAGGCAAGAAGAGGCGATCTGCATGGTAGGAAGCCCCATAGAACAATGTTCTTTCTTTATTATCATTATTATTTATTTTTTGGAGGCAGTCTCGCTCTGCCACCAGTGGCACAATCTCAGCTCACTGCAAACTCCGCCTCCCAGGTTCAAGAGATTCTTCTGCCTCAGCCTCCCAAGTAGCTGGGATAAGAGGTGCCTGCCACTACACCTGGCCACTTTCTGTATTTTTAGTAGAGATGGGGTTTCACCATGTTGGTCAGGCTGGTCTCGAACTCCTGACCTCAAACGATCCGCCTACCTTGGCCTCCCAAAGTGCTAGGATTATGGGTGTGAACCACTGCGCCTGGCCACAGTGTTCTTAAAAGCTTAGTGAAGAAGATAGCTCAAGAGTGAGGGGATGCTCTGTGGTGTCAGAGGTCTCCATTAGTAGATTTAGGATTAGCCATTGGCTTTGATCATGTGAGGGTCTTTGGTGACCTTGACAAGAGCTGTGTGAGTGGAGAGGAATGAAACCTTCATCAGCAGAGGTTTAAGAGAGACGAGAGGAACAACGTGGAGATAGTGATATGGGCAACTGTTTTGAAGAGTTTTATTATAAAAGGAAGACAAAAATGGGGCAGAGGTGTTTGTAAAGATGTGGACTGAAGAGAGGTTTTTTTGTGGTTGCTGTTTTTAACTACAAGTGAGAAGTACATTTGTATGCTAAAGTTGTAAATAAATCCAGTAGAGAAAAAACTTGATATTGGAGGAGGGAGAGAATTACTGGACCCATGACCTTGAGTTACTAACCTGAACCATACCAAACTTAAATATCATTGCATAAAAAAAGACAATTTAGGCCGGGCACGGTGGTTCACGCTTGTAATCCTAGCACTTTGGGAGGCCAAGACGGGCGGATCACCTGAGGTCAGGAGCTTGAGGCCAACATGGTGAGACCCCATCTGTATTAAAAACACAAAAACACAAAAACTAGCCAGGCGTGGTGCCAGGCGCCTGTAATCCCAGCTACTCCTGTCTGAGACAGGAGAATCGCTTGAACCTGGGAGGCAGAGGCTCCAGTGAACCGAGATCGTGCCCTTGTGCTCCAGCCTGGGTGACCGAGTGAGACTGCTAGATTTTTTACATACACTCTCCTTAATCTTTCTGTAACAGGATCCACAGCTGCTTCCAAGCTATGGGGTGGAACTTCTTCCACCAGGGTATTCACCGTCTTCTGATTTGCGTATGATACATGGACCCTACATGAATTCAACTCCTTTCCATAACTCAGGTTTAAATATATTAAGGATTTATTGGTTGAGAGGTAGGGTGGTCATAACAGAAGTCAGATTGCAGAGAGAGACAATGTAACTGAAAGAAAATCACCTTAAATCAAGAAGTCAGGAGCTGGGTGTGGTGGCTCACGCCAGTAATTTCAGTATTTTGGGAGGCCGATGTGCGGATCTCTTCAGCCCAGGAGTTCAAGACCAGAGGGGGCAATGTGGTGAAACCCCATCTCTACAAAAAATAGAAAAATTAGCTGGGTGTGGTGGCATGCACCTGTAGTCCCAGCTACTCAGGAAGCTGAGGTGGGAGGATCACCTGAGTTCTGGGAGTCAAGGCTGCAGTGAGCCGTGATTTGTGCGACTACACTCCAGCCTGGGCAACAGATTAAGACACTGTATCCAAAAAAAAAAAAAAAATCAAGAAGTCAGGCATGATGGGCTGGAGCATCACAGGCCCTGTGGTGGAAAGTGGCAGTGGTTCTGCATAAAGCAGGCGGATGCACTTGAACTCCACGCAGCCCCTTAGGGGAATATCTGTGTGTCCGGGAAGGAGCAAGGAAAGGGCTATGTGTTTCAAAACAA